ACACAGGTCTCACGGGATGGCCAATAGGTCAACAGGTAGTTAGAGTATTTAAGCGACGACGAAAACAACCACAAAGAACTTTGGATTTTGTAGGAGTGAGAGGTAGCAGACAGCTGGCACGTGAATCAGCAGTGGGTAATTCCGTAAGATGGGGAGAATGAAACACAGGTCAGTCGTCTTTCTGCCTCGAAGGAGGCGGAGCCGATTGACATCGGACCAACTTGTCCAGAAGAACAGCCGATATCGCTGTCGAAGAGTGATGAAGCTTGCCTGGAAGTTGCCAGATCTAGAAATTTCCGAAATTCCGTGGCGACTTGCTGCTTTCGGTTGGAGCTTGGATCATCTCTCAGTGTTTGGCCAAGTCCGTTATTGTCTTTAAATCCTCCGCCCTATCAGTTATCAACAAATTATAGCTGTGCGACATGTCCAGTCGTTCAAGCGGTGGATAAGTTGCACCGAAAATCGGCAGATGCCAGGGCGAATTGTCCATCACGCCTGCGACCATGCGGGAGATCTTACCGAACGCTGTTGCAGAGGACGAGGAGCCGGTTCCTGTAACGGTGTGACCTCCGAAAGCATCAAGATTTCTTTCAAGAGTTATGGCTGCCAGGGTGGTGAGGAGCCAGTGTTCACGCCAAGTTCTGACAGGACTTCTCGAGAGCTGGCCGTACTGTGACAGAAGAGGCCCCTCATTTAGATTTGTTCAAGTAAAGTTTGGCAGGATTGGTTTGGGTTATCGCAAGCAGCTGGTGAGTGGTGAGAGGAGACATGTGAAATCAGGGTGCTTGCAACAAGTTGTGAGAATCCTTCTGATGAAACCCCACAGCCTTGCCGCCGAAAACAGTGTCCGGATGTGCCGGAGAAGAGCTGCCTTACTTCAGGTGGTCAGCAGTGGCAGCAAAGACCGGGCATCAGAGGCCCGGTCTGTGCAGCGGCCGACGTCACCCTTGAGCCGCCAGTCCTGCCTGGGCTTGGGTCTGTCGCGATAGTCGTGGCACCGGTGTAAGTGTGGCCATGTTCTTTTGTCAGAGGATGCAACGACCATATGGGATGTCCTGCAGTTCGGAAGGCACTTGTGTAGGCTGCGACCCTTTGCCTTCTACTATGCTCGCCTGAACCGAAACCTCACCGAAACCTCAATGACCCAAGGCAAAACAAAGACTAATGTGCGGAGGGGGTTGTCCTGGCTGGAAGAAGAGGAAGCAGAACCGACTCCAACAAAAAACACGTGAAGATTCGAAGAACAAAGTGGAGGACTAGACAAGGTACAGCCGAGTAGTCGTCGCGAAAGAAATATCTCAGTACGGACACAGCGAGCAGAGCCAGTGGAGGCAGCAGCACGACCAGCCAGACCCCCATTACTCTACCAGGCAACAGCAGCAAAGCAGCACCCGCCAGCAGTAGCAGCAGCGGCAGCTGCGGTAGCAGCGCCAACTTCAACAGCAACATACTGAAGGAAGTTAGAATGTTTGCTCGTACAGCCTCAGCGTATTTCCCGACAAAATTCAACCCTGCTTTGTTGGAAAAATATCAAGGCCACGAGGCTTCGCACTGCGCTCACATGCATATGACAACCCTATCACTACCAACAGCGGCAAGAACAAGACCAAAGACAGCAACGTCAGCAACATCAACAGCGACAACAGCAGCAGCAACAACAAGAGCAGCCGAACAACAAGAACAGTATCTAGCGGTTGCAGTTAGTAGTTCTTCCGTCAGTAGTGCTCATGGCTGAGGCGATCAAGGGGGGGAGCGCCAGCTGCGTGCAGTCGTCAAGCGTTCGCAGTCGCAAGAGAGGCCACAATGGGTCTTTCAAGGATTCCGGGATTAGGGCCCGGTGTTGATCTCAAGAGATTGCAGATTGCATGTGTGGATACTCAGATTGTGGCAAGTCCAACCTTAAAAAGCATCAAGCCAGCAACCCTAAAGATTAAGATTATGAACTTCAAGCCTTCTGTGCTTTACCACAGTTCCGTCGTGGCCGGAAAGAGCTGTATTGTTATATATATATATATATGTATACTCGATGGTTTGCCTCCTGTCGGTTCAACGATCATCGTCAGGCTTTCCGTCGTTCTGCGTGCCAAGCACGTGCCTTCGAGCGCGCAGCACGAAAGGCTGGACCAGAGATGAAGAATCCTCAAGGGCTTGACATGGCTTGACTCACATGCTGCATCTGCTCTCCTGTGGAATCTTCGATGCGATACTTACGATCTTTAAACGTACTGAGTGCAGGCAGGGCAATCGGTCCAATGTGCACGGAGACCGGTCCAATTTGTTTGCAACAGGTCCTGCACTCGCTCCTTCCTGTCGTTCTTCCAGCATAGACACCTGCCATCGCCATCAATTAAACCATCAAAGTCGACATGATCATAATTTGTACTGCTATCCCTGTTATTATTGCCATCATCATCATCATCATCATCATCATCATCATCATCATCATTAGCATCATCATCATGACCGTTGTGGCAATCTGCCTGCGTTCACGAACATTATCAAGTACAGCCATGATGTCCAATTCGTCGTTCACTTTTCCTTCTAGCCGAGCGCGGTTGCCATGAAATACCATGAAACCGTGCTGCGCTGCACGATGTTCTTCACATTATGCTGAGGGTTGATGAAGGCCATGATGCAGATCCTGATGGTGATGATGATGATGAGGATGATGGTGATCTGGTGCTCGCATCAGTTCCGTGGCTAACCAGGGACACCATTTACTCTGTGTACTCGGCCGTTGTGTTCGTGCCGCATTTTGGATGTTTGGCTTGATGCTTCCCCGACACTTCCAACAGCCAGGAGTAGTGCAGCAGTAGCTCAGTAGCTACTGTTGTCAACCGTCGCTGTCGTAGTCGTCGTCGTGGGTGTGGCATTCACAGCAAGCGTTTTGCTTTCCATTTTCTGCCGTGCAGTTTTCGATACACGTATTGTGTAGTGTTACATCTTCTCGGTCGTGACCGGGATAGGGCGCAGATTTTTTGGTGCCTTTCAAAGCTCCGACTTTGTTCCTTCGATATATCAAGCAGGCGCCACGGTCCCGTACGAGTGAAGCTCACGGACAAGCAGCAGCTCGGAAAGCAACTATGTCGTGAGGTAGTGTTGACATCGGCAGTATCAGAAGGGGCGGTATGGAGAGCTTGCTGACCTCCATGTGCGAACAAATGCTTCGAGCTAAATGGTTTTGCTTCTTCTACTGATCCTGCCACAGATCCATAGATGTCTTGCATCATTTCCGAGCAACTGCAACCAACCCGTGCAATATAATGCCCTTAGGCCCTTAGGTCTATTCAGCCTGACGAGAATCATACCTGTGACACATTCGTGCAAAGTTGCATATCTAGTGGTACAGCCAGCGTAGAGACCGAGGCTTCTGTCGAGCGCCTAGTCGAAGGAGAACTGAGTGTTTCTGTGACCAGTTGTCTTTGATCCAAGCTTCTACGCTCTCCCGCCTCGTTCAAAGTCGTGGCGCTTGAAGCCAAATCACAGCCTACTCAAATCCAGTGCCGATTGAGTTTGGGGAGTTTAGAGCTCTATGTCACGATAGACCGAGCGTGAGATGAAGCGACGAGCTGGATGTGCATAGTCTGGCTCAGCATGAGGCAGCGAATTCGGAAAGTCCCTGCTGCATGCCTCACGTCTCATGCCGAAGATGGCAGTAGTCGCAACTGGCCTTCGCAAGATCAAGCAGCACGCCATGCGGCATTTGCCTTAACCAGAGTACATTGCACGAAAGGCTACTCTCAGTGAAGGTCGAACCTTCAAACCCAAACCTTTCATCCTTGTTTGGAACACCAGATTTGATGGCTTCTTAAGGAAGATCAGTACAACGGAGAAACTGCATTGCATCGGAATTCATTTCATAGTTTTCGAGATCCGTGAAACTGCGCTGCTCAAGGCAGGCGCAGGTCCACAGTGCTTTGCGCGGAATGATTCCAGCTGCTGTGGCATAGCTGGCATGGGCATGCCAAGCATTTCCATGCTGTTACTGTTGACGACGAGGTAATTGGTTCCGAAGGTTTCAGCAACTTCAAACTCACAGTTTGCATGTGTGACTAAAGTCCACTGTCAAAAGCGCGTAGCTTGGAGAAGTTGGGCCGCTCCTCGAATTGCTGAGATAATGCCCCGCTGTATGCAGAAGTCTGCAGACAGTTTCGCCGCTGCTGCGGCATACTCTCAATAAAACGGCCTTGCCGTGCTCTACGGAAGTTAATTTTTCTTGCTGTCAGCAGAGCTCCGCAAAGACCCGGCAGATGTACTAATATTCTCCATAAGTCCCGGACCCCGAAAACTCCACTTTGGTCCATGGGCCTCACGGTCGTCAGCTCTGCCTGGACTCGCTGTCATGCTAGGCCGTTGGGGTGGCGATTCCGGTCTCATCGGGCGACATGTTATCCTGTGAATCTTCGCTTACTGCCCTGGAAGAGACCTGACGCGGTGCCCGTGAGAATGAACTCCAGCGAGGAGTCATGTTAATCTCCTTTAATGAGGGCAGGGGGGTGAAAGCCGGCATGGGCAAAACGTGTTGCTAAACCCTATGCACACGTCAAGGTCTTTGCCATTGCTGAAGTGCCTTCTTTCCCTGTGCCCAGCACGTCGTTCATACTAGAGGTGGCTCGCCGTGAATTCTGTCGCTTTGAAATGAAGCTGCCCAACTTTACAGCCTGGGGAACTATGGGAGGGGGTCGAGTTGACCTGTCCTTAAGATACTCTGGAATGCTAAGGTTCTTTTACCGTAACGCAGCTCTGATGCTTCTGAAGCGGCCATCAGGGCCGCATCTGTGGAGTGCCGCCAGTCATGTCATGGTGGTAGCGCGAGGGAGGTGTGTTGAACCTTGTTGACACCTACATGACAAGCCAGCCATACCTGAGCAGATGCAGCCCTAGAGATGCAACATCTTGAAACAAAAACTACGTAACACTTGAGAATCAAGGTGTGGACTCCTTTCTTATTGTTTTTTCGTAGAAGACACGTGTCCTTCGTGGTCGTTCCCTTCTGGGAGGCTACTGTTGCCTTGCCGACGTCTGGAGATGGGCGACTTCCTGCTCGTCAAGTTAGAGGAGGAGGGCACATGCAAAACTTGGTAGAAGGGGTTTAAGGGTTTAGCGGTTTAGGGTGGATATTCAGAGAGATACTGAGAGCAGGGCCCGTGAGTTGGTTTTTGAGCGTAGATTCGTGTTGCGTTTTATCAAGTAGGCTTGAAGGTCCACAGCCAGGTGATTTCTTCTTACCGGGGCCGGGGGACATAAATAAGGGTAGAGCAGTGGTAGTCCCACTTCTCTGGTTTCTGGTAATGCATCACGGAGTTTCAGCATTTGACGGCTTACCTGGTTGCTTTTGGAAGGGGTGGCCTCGCTAGTTAAATCTAGCTAAGCACAGCCACTCAGCATCGAACACAAGAGTATACAAGGTAAGAAAAGGGCTTTTCTTCGCACACGGGTACGTCGGGTGTGGGCCATGATCCGTTCTCGTCGTGTCTCACGTCGCTGAGCTTTGCACCAAAAACCTCACATGGCTCAGTCCCAGCGTGAAAGCACAAGCCTCGATCTGGGATTGCTGAGCCTTGCGTGCCATGCTTGGAGGATCATGGGACTTAGTAAGTACAATTAGAAGTACCTTAACTGGGGTTATAGATAATCACAAGTATGGTGGCCTTATTTATAACCCTTCTTACTGAGTCCCATGATCCTTTAAGTGCAGGCGGCGGCGTCTTCGTCTGTCAGGCGGAGCGAGGCCGACCCGGCATGCCTGGGACTGGTAACAAGTGGTGAGACTACAATCACCGCCTAGGATGATCGAGGCTTAAAAGCACACAGCACCAGCAGCTCACTTGTACCTCTGATGGCGATACACCCCCGAGGACTACAGCACATTTTCCGAGTTGTGATGCAATGTGTTCACGGTAGGCGGGTCTGAGGACTTGCCAGGACAGCGTTCATACTAAGGGATGCAGATGACCTCGAGGTTCCGCCTCCGAAAGTTTCAATCAGTAGGTTTCCTTCCCTCTGCAGAGTCTTAAGAGAAGTTGCTGGGAAGGTAGGTGCAAGGGCCTCGCGCCTACTGTGAAATATGGTTCAGGTGGCACCAGATGGGCGCCATGGCCTCAGGAGTACGGACATCACAATGCAGGCAGCCGCCGCGCACAAGACTTGTTGTGTTGCCGTCGCATTTTCTGCAGTGACCCCAGATGTAGTTCCAAAGCTGCCGGTGTTCTAGTCTACAGAGGCTCGGAGGTGCCAAGAAGGCCTCACCCAACCACTTTTGAAAGCTCAACTCAACAAAGGCCAGGCCATATGCGATCTCAACATTCAGGCGATGAGCTGAGAAGCTTCCTGCAAACGCTGCATCCTCAGAAAGGGATCCGCCCGGTAAGCTCCTGAGGATGTTGGAGTAGAGAGACGGCATAGAGCGAGTGATATACAAGAGCACATGCAGCAATGCATGTGTGTTGCAGAGTCTGAGTGGCGGGATATTCAGCTGCTCCTGCTAGTGAACGAAACGGCAGCAAGTTGGCACTAGTCTTGGCGCCGTCACCTTTTTTGCTAGGTGCCAGGTGCAGGTGCAGAAAACTCAAACCTCGGCACGCGTCTTGAATGAGCCCGGAGCTCCTACAACCCCAAGACCTTCAGTGGCAACTGCAATAGTACATAATTTACATAATACATAATGTGTAATATATATATATATATATATATGTATACACTTATATGTAGCCTGTAGCCATCAAGAACATCTTAAAAGCTCTGAGGCCATCCAGTCAGAACCCCAGCTTCGATGGGCAGCGAGGATTGGAGAGGGGTCGGGTTTTGGGCTGGGGAAATTGGAAGTAATTTGCGTGATTAGGGTTCAGGGTCTAGGAATTAAAGTCTGGGTTCAAAAAAATTAGGGATAAGTTTCGGCTTAGTTAGAGCCGACAGGAATCACTTTTTGGTTCGGGATTTCAAAACAAGGAGCCAACCGCTCGAAAGAGACTAGGGACTTTCGAAAGAGACCAAGGAAGTTGAGAACAAGGAGCAAACCGCCCGCCAGAGGAACTAGATAATTTCAGAAGAAGGAGCAAACGGCTCGAAAGAGACTAGAGGATTTCGAAAGAGACTAGAGAAAATTGAAAACAAGGAGCAGACCGCTCGAAAGGAACTAGAGAGTTTCAGAAGAAGGAGCAAGCCGCCCGAAAGAGACTAGAGAATTTCGAAAGGGACTAGAGAAATTGAAAACAAGGAGCAAACCGCTCGAAAGGGACTAGAGAGTTTCCGAACAATGAGCAAACCGCTCGTCCAACGAGACTTGAAAATTTCGAAAAAGACTAAAGAAATTGAAAACAAGGACCATGCCGCTCGAAAGGAACTAGAGAGTTGAAGAAGAAGGAGCAAACTGCTCGAAAGAGACTACAGAATTTCGGAATAGACTATCGAATCTGAAAACAAGGAGCAAACTAGTGACTAGAGAGTTTGAAACCAATGAGCAAACCGTCGAAAGGAAATAGAAAGTGTCAGAGCAGGGAACAACCCGTTCGAAAGAGACTGGAGAATTTCGATACAGACTAGACAATCTGAAAACAAGGAGCAAACCGCTCGAAAGGAACTGGAGAGTTTTAGAGCAAGGAGCAAGCCGCTCGTCGAAACAGTCTTCAAAATTTCGAAAGAGACTAGGGAAGTTGAAAACAAGGAGCAAACCGTGTTTTTTGATCTCTGTTGAGCGCCAGCTGCACTGGGAAGATCGCCGTTCTCGATCATTCGGTTGGGCATTGAGTAACTGGCATACCCAACAAAGAGAGCGTGGCGCAGAAGAAGATAGCCAAATATCAAAACAGGCCCAGACACTGGCAAGTACTCAGGCCTTCCACCTGCCGAGGAGGCATGAAGGGGAGCTCACGCGCTAGGCTTTCAAATGTGTTGGAGCCAACAGAATTGGGAACCTTTTGCTTTCAGTGTTGCCTTCTTGCTGTGACAGTTCGTGTGCAGATAGACATTGAAACCAAGTGCTGGAGACGTTGCACAGGCTGGTGAGGCCATGGAGCACACAATCGCCACAAAGCCTGGCGCCGCTTCCTCGGGCGTGGGTACATGAAGTCAGGCACTCCAATAGCGTGCACGAAAGACCAGCGGATACACGTAAGGTCTATCTGTGCCCAACTCGCCGGTGGGTGTTGGTGCGGGAACCAAGCTGTCCATGTGACATCATGCGACATCAATTCAGGAGGCACATTATGCCACGAAACAGCCAGCAGCATTCAGTTTGGCGAACAGCTTAGTTCCTTGACTACTCTATCGTATTATGCTAGGTGTGGTGTAAGTGAAACCAACGTATGTTCGCAACAGAAATGCGAGGTGACGGCGTTCGACTCTGGCAGGTCGCCTAGACTGGATTGCGACTGTTCCCTCGCCCCATTCCTCCATGGCCTTTGTTGCAAGTGTTTTGAGGAATGGACGAGTCCTTCACGCTCAAGGCAAGAGCTCAAGAGCTTTGTAGGTTTAGGGTTTACAGCGAGATTCTTCCGTCGACGTTGAAGGTCTGCCTGGGAATCGCCGAACACTTGGTCGATGAAGGGCAATGACGGCCCATGCCGGCAAGGCAAAAGACAGAGTGAAGCATCGATGCAACAATTACGATGGTTTAGCAGTTTCTGCTCGCAGACAGCCACCTCAAGGAGCAGAGCAAGCGGAGATTAAAGGACAACTCTGAACAGCCGTGATGCTTACTCCAGCTATCAAACAAGCCATCACATCAACGTCGGTTTGACGAACTGGTGTCATGAGCTGTTCTCGAAGATGACGCATGTCTAACCACATGGGTGATGACTTGTGCTTGCCTTCCTCTCAAGCCGCTTATGGCCACATGGGCCGCATGAACATGTGTCGGAGGTGCCCGATGTCTTAGTCCAGCGATTCCCATGGCAGCTTACCATGATTTGCCATGCAGCTGCATGTAGTTGAGAGCAAGTGCGGGCTGGTTAAGCAGAGGGTGTAAATGCTCAGAATTTGCAACGCCATTATCCCGTTGACATGCTACAGACCCCGGGCTCGCAGAGCCACCGAAGCCATGCTTAGCAGAGACGTAACACTTCAAAACCCCTGCTGCTCGACGATGGCACATAGCGCGCTGATGGTTCTCCCATGAGGCTACCCGGGAGACCATGTGGCCCCCATGCGCCGCTCTTGACATTGACTTCTGTATGTCTCATACGGGTTAGTCCACACTACATCACTAAATATACTATACAATATATATATATATATGTGTGTGTGTATCTATGTATATATACACATATGTATATGCGCATGTATCAATAAATAAATAGATAAAAACACACACACATATACATATATATATATATATAATATGTTACACCAACTACTCCACTCGGGGCTCCCGATCTTGCAAAGAGCCAAGGTGCTCGCCCAGACGGCCGGATCTCATGGCTCCATGGCTTGGGTTGGGCGCCAAAGAATTGTCCCCAAATCCGTCAGTCCTGTGGAACAGGGGAGGTCCTGCAGTGTCAGATGGAGATGAATTGAACATGGAAAACGCCACCTGAGCCGCTCTCTTGACTTAGCACAATCGCCAGCGGGTTGAGCACCAGGGGTGAAGATGTAGCACGGTGTGTCGTGGCTCGCAACCGCTGAGCCATCCTGAGGCGTGGCCATGCTGTTGTGCTCATCATCGGCGTTCATGTGCTATCCGGAGTGCCCTCCCAACTGATGCTTTGCTGGTTGCAAGAAGCCCAAGGAATTCAAAGCAGAGTTGCTACTGTAGCTTCTCGGATATCCTTGGCACTTTCTCGGTGTGCTTAGATCAGGTTGCAGCGTTTGTGTCTTTCCCGCTCGCCCGTCAACTCTCGTGACCAGTCGTCCGGAGGTACTCCTTCTCCTGGTGCGACAACACCACAGAGGCTGCGGACTTGTAGCTATCGCCGATCAGAAATCTGGGCACATGGGTGAACCAAAGAAGCAGTTGTAGACATCTGCGGGTATCTCTTGCCTCGCTTCGGATAGTCCTGTAGCTGCTAGTGCTGCTAGTACACTTCCGAACTGTCGCAGTGAATGGTCTCTGATACCGACATGTCGCACTTCTAAGCTTCCAACGCACTCCAGTAAAAAGCAGTACTGTAGTGGCCTGGGTCCGAAAAGCCAAGGGCTCAAGCCCGAAGATGGCTGAGCCCATGAAGTCCAAAGAGCTATCCAAGCATCGTGGAAGTTCTCGCCACAGGAGCTCAAAAGGCCACAGTGTACTCCATGGTTTTTGTCAGATACTGGGCCAGCAGCCACCATTCAGGATCCCAACCAAGCTTGGAAGTCGGAATCCAACACAGCAAGCTGCATGACAGGAACTAAGCCACAAAGCTTTGAGCTCCAGCGCTTGCGAGCCAGGGCTTCTAGCTCCATTAAGATTGGTGGGCTTGCCGAGCTGCTTGTCGACGACTATGCCGAAGTCGGGCTTCTCACGTGGGCGAAAGTGCTGGAGATCATCGAGACCGGTTGCCTGCCCGAAGAGGATGCCCTGCGGGTGGAGGACTTCCCGGGCCTTGCTGCGGAACCACCCCTCGCAGTCCCGGATCCACGACTTGCGCGGGCACACGAGGTGGGCATAGCGGCGCTCGGAGACCCGCTCCGCAGTGACCTGCATTCAGTCAGTGCTCCGACGGCAGCATCCTCCGTACTCCCTGGGGCTCGCGTCGAACAGGAAGGACCGCACCAGGGGGTTTCGCACCTCTCCCTGGCGCCAGCAAAGCTCCGCTGGAGCTTCTGAAGGGCCACTGGCCGTCCTTGGCGTTGCCTACGCGCCGGGCGACCCTGTGAAGCAGGTCCGACACACTGCCACCTCTGACGAACGAGGAACCGAACACCCGGCGTCGCGTGCGCCGAGCCAGGGCACGAATACAGGTACGACCACAGGTCACAGTAAGGTAGCCCTAACTTGCTGCTGGATGGCCCTAAAGCCTCTGAGACTGCATCCTGTCACCTTGGTAGACGTCCTGGATTTGGCGTTGGCTCAGGGATCCCCATCAAACCTTCAAGCTTTGCATTGTAGGAGCTGCATAGAGAAACCAGCCCCTTACAATACACTTTTTGATGGAGACGTGGGAGAGCTCTCTTTTCTTAACTGACTGCCAGTTGTTTCCAGTCAGTGATTAGGCTGATAGTGGATTTTTATGGTTTAATGTCTGAACTCGGCAGCGAGAAGGATGGTAGGGATGCTCTGATCTTTTGAAAAAGTTGGTCGTGCAGGAGTAGTATCCCAGTATCACTCCCAGTATCTTGCTGTAGCAGTGTTGGTGTTAAGTCTGGGTTTGGTAGAGTCTTGTTTGGGATCTGCGCTTTTGTGACCCGCCTTGTCAGTATGTGGGATGGCTGTTCTTCGTGCTTAGTATTTGGGTGCATGGTCTACATGCTCTTAGGAGTTAGGTCGGTGTGTGTTGCGAGCAGCCTCCCGTGTACTGGATCATTCTGGTCTTTCAGTGTTTCGCCAGACTTGTGCATGCTTGCCTGCCTTGTGTGAGCCGTGAGAGCTCTAAGAGCCAATTGAGCGATGCCCTTTGCGCATGATCTTTCTCCTGGCAGGCCTCCTGTGTCCACAACTATGCGTTCTCAGTCAGCAGCCCAGATCGTGCGACAGATCGGCGCCCTGCGAAGCTGCATTCGCTTGAGCCCAGGTTGGCCACTTCCAAAGGCCTTCAACGAAAGTGAAACTGGAGGGAACTGCAGATGCGTATGAGCTGGGAAAAGCATGAATAGTAGTTGGATCAAGAAAACATCGCCAACACACCATACTTGCGTGATGTCCTTGCCGAGGGCCACTGTTGGTTTCTGTTTTCTCCGTGGCTATTATGTCGTGCCCATTGGCAGGTGTCAGCACAAGTGTGAGTTTGCAGCGAGCGTTTCAATCGGCTACGAACCTGTGCTGGATCAGACTGGCTATTCATCTTATGTAGCACATGAAGTTGCGTGCATGTACCAATGTCATCCATGCCAATGTCGCCCACGCGCCAAGCATTGCGGGAGGGAAGCCAAAGATGGAATTCCACACCATACTGTAGCCTGCAAACCCTGCCAGAAAGCTCTTGGGCTACTATCAGCAGAACCAACGCCCTCCGGTGATGGAGGCGAAGCCGGCATCAGATCGATGAGATTTTGCCCAAGACAGTCTGCAATCAGGTGTTCAAGTCCGTTCGCGGAGTCCTGGTCGAGCGACCATGCGAGAATCACTGTCACCAAAGTTATCACATTGCTCTACTTGATTAAGCAGCGTCCAGGGCAACAAACCATCAAATGGTCGAAGGCGAAGGCGACTGTTCTCCTCGCCAGGCTGTGTTTCTCACTCGTCTGCCACGGTGCCCCCCCGAGCTTGCATGACGACGACGACGACCACTACTTCCACTACTTCCACTACTTCCACTACTACTACTACTACTACTACTACTACTGCTGCTGCGATTACAACTACGGCGACGATAGCACCAACCCTACAGCTACTGCAACTGCTCATGCTACTCCTGCTGCTACCGCGACTGGTTAGGCAGGCTGCTGCTACTGTTGCTGCTACTTGTACTAGTGTTGCCACTGTCACCATGACGGCTACTACGATCAGACAGCTTACCGTCATGACTGGGATGCTGACGCGCATGATACCCCTGATGATGGTGAGGATGGTGGTGCTGGTGCTGATGATATGGGTACTATCAGTTGTTACAACCACAAACAAATGCAGCTCGCCATCGTCTAATGGCACTGGCGCTCTCTGTTTCTTCGATACTGTGCGAAGTTGGTAAATAGAAAAGAGCGGTAAGTACGGGCAACTAGGTAAGGCCAGAGCAGATCGATCGGCATCGATGCCGCCGTCCAGACGAAATAGTTTGCAACACTTCATAAGGGTTGTGCAATCGACGTCTTTCTGTGGAGACCACCATGCTTGGACCATCTTGGACCTATGAATCAACTCACCAAGGCCTTACCAGCAGGAGTTTATCCAAGGTGGGTGTGCGGTTTGGCTCCCAGTATGTCCCAGCAGC